TTTGAACTATATGCTTCAGGCATTTAAATCCTTCAGGGATCTTCATATAAAATTAATCAAATGAGTCATATAGGTTATGACTTACATTTAAATGATATGACATCTTCAGGTGTCTGGACTACAGGTCCGATCCTCACAATCTTTTATAATATTTTGCACTATATTGTATCAAATATATCGTCGACGATCATTTTGCATCGATTCCTAAGCGACATAACTTGTTGAGATCTCATCACTTTCTTTATTTTCAGGTACCTGAACTTCTTCTGGAGTTTCATGAAATATTATATCGTGGGCTCTTCTAGAGCTCATTTCCTCCTCATTATGATCATTTTGATCATTTGCTCCTATCATTTTTCACGGATTGTTAGCTTTGGAATCGATCGGTTTACTACGCTTCATGCGTGCAGTAAACTTTATCCTTCAGAGAATTTAATTTTAATATGAGCATTTACAGATGAAATATGATATTTAATTTTGGATCAGCAAATGTTTCTGGCATTTGACTTGAATTATCTTCTGAGTGAGGATCATATTAATGATAATTCGATTCATATAACATATTTTCCAGTTGTTTATTCCATCCCCCAAATGTTAGAAAAACTAACATATATCCCCAATCTTCTTTGGGAAACCTATCTTTGTGCATTGTGGTAGAGAAATTAATCATATACCACACATCAAAAGTTATTAGATAGTAAAAATATTTGGTTTCTGATCCTAAACAATTGTGAGGGGAGGACTTATCATATATTGTTGGTCTAATGCATACACATGCTGCTGTATGCAATTTAGAAAATCTTAGACCAACACATGAAGCTTTGTTCTCAAAAGCAATAGTTTAGCCATTAATTGGAGGTATTCAATGCTAAACCAGCTTGGATATAAACCAACATTCTCAAGATGAACTGTCTTGATTTCATAATCTGAAATTATGCTCTTAATTGGGAAAAACAATTTCAAATGCCAAACTGCAGGTTGACAATAATCACACATGTAACTATCTCATATATGCATCTATAAGTGGTTCACATGATAGGTGAATGGGCCCATATTCACCTTTTATATATTTCAGATTAGGGTCTTAGTCCCAACTTTAGCTGGTATAATCAATTTATTATGAGAACAAACAACATAAGAGAATTCTTGAAGAATCTTCTAGTTCTTCAGTATATGTTGATCTGAATTCTCAATTAGCTCATCATATTTAAACTAGATGGCAAATGAAAACTTCAAGTTTATCATGGCATGTGCTATCTTTTAGTAAACTTCTGGTTTACTATGGTATAAACTTTTATATTAGTAAACTTCTAGTTTACTGTGGTACATAATATATTACAAATTGAAGAATAAGGCGGGTAACTTCTCACATGCATATTATTTTACCCCTTATGATTGTGGAAACATGAAGATTTTCAATCTTCTAATCATTTATAGTCTCAATATGATAGCCATTTGTATTAGTAAACTTCAGGTTCACTATAACGCATGTTTTGACCATAATCATATAATATGAATGACATATTTGTATATAAGCTCTTCGAGAGCCTTCATTTATTATCCACAATCTAATATTTATCGAACATTACTGGTGTCATATATCTTCTAGACAAACAGATAGCTCTTCGGGAGCTTTTGATAAATTTTGTACTACCAAATATTGCTCAAACACTTCTGGTGTCATGAGAAAAAATCATAATCAAATAGACAATACAAAGCCAATTCTAAATTTATAAGTGACGAAAATTAAGAATTTTAATATTCTACCACTAACTATGTGACAAATATCTCTTTCAAGGAGAAATACCATTAACATCTGAATATTTTGTATCAATGCGGCAACCACATAGTCATTACATCCTTTAAGAAAAGATACACGAGTTGTTATTTCCTTCGGGGAACTCAATAACTAACCATAATATACTAATGTGGTTGTAGTAGAAAGTATTCTACAAGAATGCTTTTGCCTTAGAATGATATTTAATAAAATTATCCAAGATGTTTTACGTACAACAGGTACGTGCGGGAATGATTTTTATGCCACAAAATAATATTTATATCCTCTGTTATTCTAGCTCTTCAGGAGGTGAGTTGTGTTATTTCTTCATTCACTCCAGGGAATGAAAATTTGCTTAAAAAACTTTGAATAGCTCATTATGTTGTTTAAGCACAGAAAGACACACTTTCATAATATTTTCCTACTTCAGGAGGACATTTCAATTGTGTTACTTCTTCAGGAGCAAATTTAAAATACGAAATATTGATTATATATTCTTTCAATCATATTACCTCATCTGGAGGTGAATTATAATACATTTACATCAAGTGCGCGTTCATATTTACGAATCACTTTAGGGAATATATTAATATTTATCAAAAGTTCTCAACCTTCAGGGAACGGAATATAATTATCTGAATATACATTAATCACACTAAATTATGTGATGTCTTAGAACCTCTTTTACGATTATACTACTTCAGGAGCAAATCGAGGCATGTATGTAATACAGAGAATATTTCTCTAGCTTATCTTCAATTATAACCATAGAAAGCCTAAATTATCACTTCTGGTGGTTATAGGCATATACAACTTCTGGTGGTTACCAAAATTTAGTTACATTGAGATATGCGAAACATAACCACTTCTGGTGGTTGTATATTTTTTGCAAACTCTGCTGGAGTTTAAGTGGATCTAACAATATTATCCACTTTGTAATCCTTTATTAAAATAATTAGGAAGAAAACAAATACCAAAATAGGTATTGTATACGTAACATATAACCAAGCAATATTAAAATATAAGCAAAGGGCTCAAATTAATTTACGCAGATTTGGCCACTCCAGAGGTAAGTGATATATACATCACTATTGTCAAGAAGAAAAACTCACCACCTCAAGGATATAATCTGCCTTATGATATGCTTGGACTGAACAATATCTAACCACGGACGTAAGAGCATCGCCTTACATCATATATGAACACCGAAATAGAAAATAAATCGAAGTAAGTGCTCAAAATGGCAGAGTCTCGTGCTGATAACGTGTTATAAAATAAAGACTGTAAAGTAAAGACGAGTATAGAGAGAAACTGATGTATTATTCAATTTCAAACTAATGTACATAATACTGAAATCTCCTCTATTTATAGAAGAAAGGAAGCTGCTGTGTAAGCTGCTACTGCAAGTTGCTGTGTAAGCTGCTTGTAAGTTGCTTGTAAGCTGCTTGTAAGCTGCTATTGTGCCAGATATAGATAATCTTCTACCCGGGGTAATATTTATCCATAACGGAGTACCGAAATGATAAGCTTCTTGGGGAGGCTTATTTCCAATAAAGTACCAAATAGATAACATATTTACGACGGAGTCTCATACAAATAAGCTTCTTCAGGAAGCTTATTTACAACAGAGTACTAAACGAACATCCATAATATAATATATATTTATAACAAAACCAATGTTAAATCGGATAATACACTTGTTATTATAGCGTCGACATGAAAAGTACCCGAGTTACAAATGTTTCATCAGCGGGCCAACTCGAAGACTAACTCAAATATGGACAAATGACAAATGTATATTACGTGTCACGTACTAAATTTTCTTTTTGTATTTTTTTGACATGAATATACATATGGTATTTAATACAGGTCTAATATATCACTAAAACAATATATTACATATAATTAGCACTTGATGAGTATCAAATCCGATAAGCACTTCAATTTTGACATCCACTAGACTTAACGATTTCAAGAGAATGATCTAAAGCGTCCCTCAAATTTAAACATTGGCACAACCTTGTTTGTTAAAAACTAAAATTAACATAATTTTTTAAAATCTAAGTATGTAATTTAGGAGCACTTTTTGTACACAAACCAAATGAGTCCAAATGAACTTGACAGATTCCTCAACACCGTACAACGACAAATAGTGGTAAAGTCAGGATTTTTACTGAGAAGAATCAAGGTATATGGAGTATAAAAAGTAAATATATGACAAGCCAAATCGATCAATATATAATATATATATATATATACATTTAAAATGATTTAGTATATATTTTTGCAGGAAAGTGATGTTAATTGACACCCTTTGGACAACGCTCAACGAATGACAAATGCTATTATTTCCAGCAATGCCACATTGTAAGCATGGATACAGATCTGATATATAGGCCCCAATTGCTTGAAAAATCAAGGATATTTTGCCTTTAGAGATGGAGAAAGATGTTGGAATTTTTCGAGAAAGCTGATTCCCTGACAAGTTCAATGAAGAGTTGGCAAAGCCATGGAGATATTGGGCCACTAAGCAAATTGGCATCCATGTTAATTGCATTTAGACATATGAAATCCAAGAATCTGGGACTAAACCAAAAGTCTTTGTTTGGTTACACAGACATAAGAATATACTGGATGTCTAATATTTTAACAGTATATTTCTAGATTTTAAAATAACGAAAATTCAAGAGTTTCATGTAGTATTCAATTAGTGCAATTCATCCTTTTAATAATAATGACAAAAAAATAGACTAAAATTGTAGTCTAATATTTTTTTTTTCACACACACGTTTTGTGTCAAAAATATTGGATCGACTTGAATCCATTGAACATAGACTCCATTTAGCCCATGTGGAGGAACGTAAAAGGGACGGGTCGACCTCAGTGTTAGTATCAGAATCCTTCATTATTTCTGGTGTCAGCAGCATAATAAAGAGTCCTGAAAAAAAGGAAATAAGTAGATTGATAATTACAAGTCACAACTCTCAATTATTAATTCACTCGCACAAAAATATAGCTTACCTCCAACTTCCCTCGCCCGTATTCTTTTGTAATCTTCGGTACTTATTGAATACATAGCTGTATTCATATATGTACAACAGTGTATGTGTGTGTATTGTGTAATTAGAGGAGGTTAGTCGGTGAAGTGGTTAGTTAGGTACAACTGTCAATCACTAACCACCAATATAAAACAATCCCTTCCCTTTGTATTAAAATCAATCGAACAGTAACACTTCTTCTTCTTCCTTTCTCTCTCAATTTCATCTTCTCTCATTTTGCATGTCATTTACAGTAGAAGATCCGATGGATTCTATCATGGTATCAGAGCGCCGGTCATTGGATTTACAGCTCAGATCTAAGCTCCGCCGGAAATCAGGAACAAATCACTAACAAAACTCACTTTTTGAGCAGCCATGGCCGAAAATGATGTTGCTTTGCTTGACTACAATCATCCGCTATTTTTCCAAGCTGGAGATGCTCCAGGACTCGTATTGATACTGGTCAAACTCACAGGGCCAGAAAATTATGCCCTGTGGAGCAGAGCGATGAAGTGAGCACTACGCGGAAAGAGTAAGCTTAGTTTGTAGACGGTACTTGTGTGAAAAGCAATTACAAGGGAGAATTGGCGGAGCAATGGGAAAAATGCAATGCTGTTGTGTTGTCATGGATTGGAAGCACCGTATCAAGTGAATTGATGCCGAGTATTGTGTACGTGTCAAATGCGAAGAAAGTTTGGAGCGATTTTTAGGAGAGATTTGACAGATCTAATCTCACTAGAATTTATCATCTGTGGAGTGCAATTGCGACTCTAAGGCAAGGTATGGATTATGTCACCAGCTATTATTCGAAAATAAAGGATTTATGGGATGAAGTTGATGTATTAGCCCATTTGCCCTCTTGTGATTGTGAAGAATCTTGACCTTCTGTTGTTCATTTGGAAAACATAAGGCTGTTGCAATTTCTTATGGGATTAAATGAAAGTTATAGCAATATACGCAGTAATGTGTTGGCAAAAAGGCCAGTTGTGGTTGTTAATGAGGCTTATGTATAGTTAGTCAAGAGGAAAGTCAGAGGACCTTAGGTGTCACAGATGCGCACAGAGATCCACTCACAATGTTGGCAGGAAAAGATCAAGACTTTAGACCTAGGAAGCCCGGCTTAATATGTGAGTATTGTGGGTATAAAGGCCATCTGAAGGAGAATTGCTTTAAGATAATTGGATATCTACCTGATTTCAAAAGCAAAAAGAAGAATCAAACAGCTGGAGGAAAGCATATGCCAATAATGCAAATGCAAACACAACTAATGCAAAACGAAGAAAGAACAATGCCAACAATTCAAGCACCAGGCCAATTCTTTACAGAAGAGCATTACAAGCAATTGGTCAATTTGCTGTCAAAGCCTAATGCATGGGAATGTTCTGCAAATATGACAGGTATAATTTCTCTATTGTCTAGTGCAGATATGTGTGATTGGGTGATAGATTCAGGAGCAACTCATCATGTCACCTACTGTAAGGATGTTCTAAAGGATGTTAAAAGTGTTGATAGCCAAGGAATACAAGGAGTGCAGGTGCCTACATAAAACAAGTCAAAAATCACTCACACAAAAAATACAACTATATTAGAAAATAAGATAGTGAAGAATGTGTTGCATGTGCCAGATTTTAAGTTCAATCTACTATCAGTGTCTATACTCACCAAAGATCTGTGGTGTTCTATCACTTTTTTCCCTAATTTTTATATATTTCAGGATCTTTACAGTGACAGGATGATGGGGATTGGTAAAGAGCACAATGGGTTGTATCTACTAAAGGAGAACAAAACACTAGCAGCAGCAGGATATTTTGTACAGCAAGGAATTAACGATGAGCTTTGGCATCTGAGACTAAGACATGCATCAACAAAGGCAATGGGGAATATACTAGCTCTGAGGAATAAAGTAGATTCTCTGGTTCAACAAAACTGTAAGTTTGTCCTTTGGCTAAGCAATGTAGGTTGAAATTTCCTATTAGCAATAGTAAATCTACTACTCCCTCCGTTTCATATTAAATGAGGTACTTTCCTTTTTAGTTTGTTCCAAAATAAATGACATATTTCTAAATTTAGAAATTATTCAACTTTAAACTCCTTATTTTACCCATTTTATCCTTAATGAGAAGCTTTTATAACCACACAAAAGCCATGGCCCCACAAAGCTTTACCCCTTAAGCTTTTAAGACCACAAATTTCAAAAGTCTTTCTTTTTTCCCTTAAACTCCGTGCCGAGTCAAACTACCTCATTTAATTTAAAACGGAGGGAGTAGCTATTTTCAATTAGTCCATCTAGATGTGTGGGGGCCTCACAGAGTTCCTACCTATGATTGAAAGCATTACTTTGTCACTATTGTGGATGACTATAGTAGGTACACTTGGGTATGCTTGATTCAGTCTAAATGTGAAGTAGCTATTCTAATAAGGAACTTTGTTGCAATGATAAGAAATCAATTTGATGTTGGAATTAAGGTGTTGAGGACAGATAATGGTACTAAATTCTTTAACTCTCAATGTAATGAATTATTGGCTTCTCTTGGAATCATACACCAAAGCAGTTGCCCATACACTCCACAGCAAAATGGAACTGTGGAAAGAAAACATAGACATATTTTACAAGTTGCAAGGGCTCTGAAATTTCAGAGTTCAATACCACTTAGATTCTGGGGAGACTACATCAAAACTGCTGTATATTTGATTAACAAATTGCCTACTGAGACTTTGGATAGGAAATGTCCTTATGAGATGTTGCATAACAAACTGCCAAGCTAGACCATCTAAGGGTATTTGGTTGTTTATGTTTTGCAAGAACGTACCAAGAGGAGATAAATTTACAGCTAGAGCAAAAAAATGTGTCCTTATAGGATACTCAGAGACTCAAAAGGGATACAGGTTATATGACTTAGACTCTAGAAGAGTAATAGTGAGTAGAGATGTCACATTCAGAGAACATATCTTTCCATTTAAAGAAGAAACAGATGCAAATGAAGATCTGTTTCCTTGTGAGCTAGTGGGGGTTACTCTTGAAGAGACAACTCAGCCTGATCATAGATACTCCACATTGTAGCAATGCTCCTGCTACAATTCATATGGCTGAACAAGCTGTGCCAGAATCACCCGTATCACCACCAACAACTCCACCATCAGCCACACTGGAGCAACAAGAAGAACCTCCTACACTACCTATCTTGCAGGAACCAGATGCAGACCATGCTGAAGCACCAAATTCTAACCAAACAGAACCAACATCTTACTCAGAGGAAACACTAGCTGAAAAACTAACACATCAAGAACATCTTATACCTGCAGCGAGTACTAGAAAGTCTGGCAGAACTTCCAAACCTTCCATTTTGGCTCAAAGATTATGTCTCTACAGTTAAATCAACCAAGGATACACCTTACACTATCTCCAATTTCATCACTTATGATCACCTTTCTGAGAACTAAAAATCCTTTTTAGGATCATTCTCAGAAACCTACTGAACCTAAGTCCTTCAAAGAAGCTTATCTTGACAAAGCCTTTGTAGAAGCAATGGAAGTAGAATCAAGGTATATGGATTGATCTTCCTTCTTTGAAGGTGTATCATAAGTGAAGTAGTAGATCTTTATATGCCTTGTATGCAACCTAGGAAGTAGTAGATCTTCCTTCTGGGAAGAAAGCTATAGGCTCAAAATGGGTGTTCAAAATTAAATATAAGGGAAATGGGGAAGTAGAAAGGTTTAAAGCAAGGCTGGTAGCAAAATGCTACACACAGCAGGAAGGATTGGACTATCATAAAACATTCTCTCCTGTTGTAAAGATGGTCACTGCCAGGACCATCATAAGTATAGCAACCTCTAAGGGATGGAACCTATTCCAAATGTATATAAATAATGCTTTCCTGCAGGGTGATCTTTATGAAGAAGTCTACATGTGCTTGCCTCAAGGGTTCCACAAGCAGGGGGAACAGAAGGTATGTAGGCTGCTGAAATCTTTGTATGGGTTAAAGCAGGCTTCAAGACAGTGGAATAGTAAATTAACTGAGGCACTATTAGCAGCTGGTTATACACAAAGTCCCTATGATCACTCATTGTTCACAAAATGGGCTGGATCAGATATTGTCATTATTCTAGTCTATGTAGACGACTTGCTCATCACTGGAAGCAATCCTGTTCTTGTAAAGGCAGCCAAACAGACATTACATAGTTCATTCAAGGTGAAATATCTAGGAGAACTTAGGTATTGTCTTGGGATTGAAGTTCTGAGGTCAAACAAAGGAGTGCTTCTTACTCAAAGGAAATATGCACTTCAATTAATATCAGATGTTGGACTTGCAGCTGCTAAACCTATTAAGACACCTATAGAGCTCAATCAGAAGTTAACAACCATTGATTATGACACACATGTTGGGCATACTAGAGATGCAGAATTGCACGATGTAGGAAGCTACCAAGGACTCATTGGAAAGCTTCTTTACCTAACGGTTACCAGGCCAGATTTATTTTTTACAGTCCAGGTATTAAGTCAATTTATGCAGCATCCCAAACAGTCCCATTGGGATGCAGCTCTGCGAGTGGTCAGATATGTTAAAGGTCCCCAGGCCTGGTATTCTTCTGTATAACTCTCCCATAAATCACCTTTCTGTATATAGTGACTTTGATTAGGCAGGGTGTCCAAACACCAGGAGATCAGTAACTGTTTACATTGTCAAACTTGAGGATTCACTGCTCTCGTGGAAGCCAAAGAAGCAACCTACAATTAGCAGGAGTTCAGCAGAGGTTGAGTATCGCAGTCTTGTAGCAGCAGCTGCAGAAATTACTTGGGTCCTAGAATTGCTCAAGGAGCTACAAGTTGCAATTGATGTTCCAGTCAATCTGTACTGTGATAGCAAGGCAGCTTTACAAAATAGCTGCCAACCCAATATTCCACGAGCGAACCAAACACGTCGAGATCGATTGTCATTTCGTTCGTGAAAAGATCAAGGCAGGATGGATCAGCCCTCACTACATTCCTACAAGCCTACAACTAGCTGATTTAATGACAAAAGGCCTTGGTTCAGCACAACATCATTTTCTTTTATCCAAGCTCGGAGTGTTTGATCCTTTTCACTCTCCAGCTTGAAGGGGAGTATTGAATACATAGCTGTATTCATATATGTACAGCAGTGTATGTATGTGTATTATGTAATTAGAGGAGGTTAGTCGGTTAAGTGGTTTGTTAGGTATAGTTGTCAACCACTAACCACCAATATAAAACAACCCCTTCCCTTTGTATTGAAAACAGTAACACTTCTTCTTCTTCCTCTCTCTCAACTTCATCTTCTCTCATTTTGCATGTCTTATCGATGGATTCTATCAGTACTTTTTTTGTTTCTCATCTCGTAATTTGTATCCATTTTAGTGTGTCGATTAATTGAAATTCACAGAACCTTTTTGTTCTCAAAATTTGTTTTCGAGACTTCATACTATGGATAGAGAAACTATATTCATCTCATCACAACTCTTAGCTTATTGATATCTTCTGTATCATTATAGTCAGTCCTTTGTAGAAGGACATCAAGCTTATTATAGGGACCATGTCAACGTGTGGACAGACCAGACAAGCCTGTCCACTTTTGTCCAGAATCTACCCGTCGGAGCCCCCTTACCCGAATCAATTTCTTACCTCATTTTTCTAACTAATAATTGCCATAAAACCCTAATAAAATCATCTCTTTCACTAAACAGAATATGGTTGTATGATTTTGTGTTTACTCTCATAGGGAGTTGAATCAGGAACTTCAGACTAGACACATTTCATTTGATAAAGATGTGATAGATAGTGGTAATTAACTGTTAAGTAGGAGAATGTCAACAAAGCACCGTTTGAAAAAGTGGATCTAACCTTTGTATTACCGAAAGGATACTAAAATGATAATCTTATTTCAACCAACGCCCTTATGAAACTCAAATCATATGGTTTTATCTTCGATATTTTCATGGCGCCATATATAAATATTAGTGGCATACGCTGAATTTTGTATTGCAATATTATCGTATTAATACATTCCAAGATAATAGTGCAAGGCTTGACCTCTAGTATTCCATCCATAGTAATATTTAGAATTTAGCCTATTTTAAACAGTTTTAGCCTATTTTATTTTATAGGAGTATATTTTTTTTTTTTAAAAGAATTATTTATACATCTACATAAGAAGAATTTTCTATATATATGTATCTGATGACCATGTGTGAAGCTACACTATGGTAAGGGTGATCAATTGACCACCCTTCATCGGAAAATTACACTGCGTATATAGGTAAAATATTAGATTTTAAAGGTATATGATATAAATTGAACACCCTTTGTCAGGAATTTCTTTTACGTCTTTCAAGTTTGAACACCCTAGGAAAAATACCCGGCTACGCCATTGCTGATGACAGTGCTTACAAAAGGATGTGTATGCCACTGATAAACACAAACGACGTAACAAATTCACCATTTCCCATGTTTGAACGTATCCTCCTATAAAATAGTAGCTATTTTAAGCTAAAAATCAGAGGTTAGTTGAATTAAAGAAACATCATGTCCGAATCTAACTTTGAATCCTACCCTCCATTGTTTCGCCCAGTAAACATCCCAAGTTTGGACAGAGATAGACCAGAGACACTGTCAAAGTTAGCAGTGGACGCTGCTAATATCCCTGTGATTGACTTACAATGCACAACAAGCTGTATGAGTGAAGCGTGTAGAAATTGGGGATTATTTCGTATGGTGAATCATGGTATTCCAATTACGCTATTGAACCAAATTGAAGAACATGCTATAAAGCTCTTCTCTCTGCCCTATGAAACTAAAATAGCCTTCTTCTCAAGTAACAATAATAATACTCCTATATCCTACTTTTGGGGTACTCCTGCTCTAACTCCTTCTGGATCTGCTATACCACAAAAACCAAATAATCAGCAGAGCCTACAATGGATGGAAGGATTCAATGTTTCTTTATCTCAATTATCACATCTTCATTATCAAGATTTATTGCTCGAAACTTTCAGGTTCTTCTTCTTCTTCTTCTTCTTTACGTCTTTGCTTCAAAGTTTTCTCTTTATTTTTTTGGGTCTTTCGAATATGAATGTCACCTGTGGAAAAGTTCAGCCGCCATTGAATAAACCAGTTTATGTAAAAAAAAAATTAAAACAGGTAATCAACAGTTCATATCAATTGAAATTAGTAAATCTAAAATATGGAAAAATAATTAACCTGATTAAAATTCACTAGTAACGTAAAAAGGATTTACTCCCATCAATGTGTATAAAAACTGCTTAATGAGTACCCTATCGGTATGTGTTATAGATACTTTCATTTTTAGTCTATCCTCTTTTTTCTGAAGACCAAAACTCAAAGGAGTAGGTCGAGATTAATAAGTTTTCTAGAAAAATATTTTCCTACGTACCAAACACACCCTTGTATTGATGTTTTTCCCCATCTTTTCATTTTCACGGGTCAAATAATTGTACCTGCAATGCCAATAACTACTCTTCATTTAATCACAATTACCGTCCATACTCGACTAGAGGAAAAGACAGAGATAACGACAATTGTGAAAGCAACCAAAATATCCCATTTTATCTTTTTCTTCGCCGAGTCTGAAATGTGACGTTTTCTCCATAATTAACGCCAAAAATGAGCCTGAAATGTGACGTTCTCTCCCTTTCATTTAATTTTTAATATTTTGCTCTAAGATAGTAGAATTTAGAAAGAAAAAAAGTTTCGACATATAAACTCTTGAAAAAAGACTTCTGAATATAGTAAAATAGTACTCTCCCCGTTCTAATTTATGTGATATGTTTAACTGGATACGGAGTTTAAAAAAAAATGAAGACTTTTGAAATTTGTGATCCTAAACTCGTCAAAATGGGGTTCAGAATATTTGTGTGGTTATAAAAGTTTCTTATTTATGGTAGAATTGGAAGTTTACGCTAAATTGTTTAAAATTTAGAAATGGGTTATTCTTTTTTGAACGGACCAAAAAAGAAATAGGTTCAAATAAACTGAAACAGCAGAAGTAATATATATTATTTTTAAAATTAATTAAAGGAAAAAAGTGTTTCAAATAAAATGAAGTGTACGGTATATCAATAATAGATGCTTATTTTCCTGTTCGTTTTCATCTTCTTCAGCGGATCAAAATAACCAATAAGATTGTCTAGTTTATTTTTAGTACAAACCCAACCTTTTCTCTCCTCTGGTTCTCTGCTTTCACGATATTTAATTACTAAGACTATTTACTAACAAGAAACGTAAAATTTCTCTGGATTTCCTTGATTCCTTTGTCTCTACTCGTTGCTTTTAATCAACAATAAACACAGGATTTCTCTGCTTTGATTCCCTAGTCTTTATTTTCCCGAACGACAATGTTGTCACGTATTTAGTGCTAGCCAATTAAAATAGAACATCCACGCAAAAATAATTACTGTTTCCAACATCAATTCGGCAACCTAGGACCGTGTACGAAGCAATTGACGTCAGTCTTATCAGAATGATCTTGTCCAGTGATTTCACAAAGCCCAAAATCAATCAACTTTTCGTGATTTTTCTCTTCAATTATTGATATCCTTTTGCCTAGTGGGTCTACTATTCCGAGTCCGGAACCAAAATATGGTTCTTTAGGACTCAAAGAATCAAAATATATAAAAAAAAATGGTGATCATTTTATATATAATGTCCTTTTAAACGGCGCTATACCTTAACGTAAGGGCGTATGCATGAACTTTTGTATGCGGTGTCGAAATCTATAGAAGAAAAAGAATAAATAACTTTAATTATCATATTTCTAGACAGTAAATAGTTTTAGTCCATTAGTTCTGTCGAATCTTAAGTTAGAAAAGAATCCGAGTTCAATCCTACTTAATCACAATTTTTAACTATAGAGGCTCTCTCAAATATTTGCAATTGTGATTCAAACTTCTGACCTCTTAGAGCAAAATCAAGCACATAACCAATGCGCTAGGAGACAATTTGCGTTAAATGGTGTCATTTCTTTCTACGTATCCGTTTCCTCATAGTATTGATACATATATTTAGTAAATTTTCCGACGAAGCGGTGTCCGCCCCTGCCTTAACGGCCGTTTGCCCAGTTAAGTACTATAACACCCTTTAAAAGGGCGTTATATATCAAATGGTCACCATCTTTTTTAATTTTTCTAGCATTTCGATTCTTTGCGTTCAAAAGAACCACATTTTGGTTCCGGACTCCTACGACTCCAATCGTTTAATAGTTTCTCCTAATCAAGAATATTTCTTGGTATTTCTCTAATATTGATATTACCTTCATTTCATTTTATACAACATTCTTTTTTTTTTCTTTCTTAAACTTCATATCTAATCAAATACCACCATATAAAATAATAAATAGGGAGTAATTTTTTCTATTAGTCAAGTCATTCTCTTTTCATTTTCATATTCTTTACGGAGCTTAATTTATATGAATTGATAGCAAAAAGAATTTTAACGCTGTCAATAAAACATAACTAACTATATAGCATGTTATTATTATAATTTTAAAATTATCACATCTGACTTGATATAAAGAGTTACATGCTATTATTAGTCACTTAATTAATTTCACAAACCTCAAAGTATAATTATTTTTAATACATATAAGTATATAGAAATTCAAACCAGTCGCATAGCCACCCTGGTTCAAGGTTGACACTCCTTCCCTTGAAAATTACGCGATGTAGATAACTAAATTTTATAATATATATATGCTATTTGTTGAATTCTTTTGACTTTTCTTCATACATTCTTTGTGGAAATTCTAATTCCAGTACTGCTTAAAATTATTTCTTACATATTTTGGGTGGTAATAGATGCTTGCTAGAAGAATATGGGAAACACCAGGGTAGGCTGGCTACGTCAATATTCAAGGTTTTGGCATCAGACCTGAACCTGGGACCATTACAGACTCAGTCTCATCTCTCAGTAGCCACTGGTTTACTGAGGGTGTATCGTTACCCTCGTTGCCACGAGCCAGAAGGAGCGTGGGGGATTGACGTGCACACAGATAGCTCAGTCCTCTCCATTATTCACCAAGATGAAGTTGGAGGCCTTCAAGTTTACAGCAAAGATCATCAATGGCTTGACGTCAATCCTCATCCCAATACACTTATTGTCAATATTGGTGACATGTTGCAGGTAATTCGTTCACTTTTTCGATTTTTTTTTTTAGGGTTATTCGATATTTTGTATTCGCATTGGGACCTCGATTAATTCGGATTTGCACCGCGTAAAACTCATTAAAGAGGAAGCAGTTCCTATACTAGGATCTTTTCCATTTTCGAGCTCGAACCCTAAAGGCCTAAACCTCTACTTAAAAGTGAATAGATCCTATCGATCTTACCACATCTCTTGATTGTTACTTTATCCATTGCATTTTATCTTTCTTTTTTTTTTTTCTAATTTTTAACTCGCACAATGGCCGCTGTCCTTGTTTTATCATAAAATATTCTGGAAAATATAATGAACTGAGAATAGGAGATCTTGTATTACCAGGCACCAGCCATGATCTCGTCAATCTTTTCATCATCATCGTTCAATTTAATGTACTGACATTTTAATTAATATATATAATATATTCCTTAAATTTTTTAGGAAAGAGAGTTTTACCAACCATGATAACATTAATCAATCTTTCCATCATTATAGTACAAATGAGTGGGCTGACATTTTAACTTATATAGTGTTTTTTAGCATATATCTAGTAATATTTCTTAATCATTATATAACTCATTGGACAAACGTTTAAGTCATCTACTAGTCCAATTTTAACCTTAAGGACCAGAAACAAAAACTAGTGGCCATGTAGTATTACATCTTCTCGTTGATAGCACGTATTGTAACTTACTTACCTAGCTAGTACTAGATAGAACATTGGAGTGCGCACTTTTAGCAGTCATCTAACAATTACTGTCGCAACTATATTAGAAAATTGGAAAAGGTTCGAATTTACTCTCTACTATGGTATATTGTTTATATGTGTTTCCCGTTATACTTTTCGTCCAGATCAACCTCTACCATTAATAAACTTGTCAGAATTATCCCTAACCCTAGCGTCTCTCCGCCGGGGCAGCTGACCCCTCAATTAGATTGTCCATGTCATCAATTGAATTGTCCATGTCAGCAATTTTTAAGGGCCACACAGAAAGTTTCAAACAAAACCCACCCCCTTTTCCTTGAACTATTCCCATCGGAAGTTGTGTCAAAACCTGCCAAGCATCAATAGTGCGTTGAAAATCCTGTAGCCATCAATCGGCTTGCATTCGGACGGCGTCGTCTGGGTGATGGTACAGTGCATTTAGGGCTTCTTTCACTGTGTTCTGTAGCTCCATAGCTCTTCACTTCAGCTCCACAAAATTGCCCCAAAATAGTGTTTATAGAGCTTTGGAGGGTTTTTTTGGCGCTTCAGTTGAGGGGTTATGAATGGTGTCAGTGAAGGAGAGAGCTCCGAAGGGATGTGTAGCCCAACCGTTCGATGAAATTTCACAATGACGACTAGATTGGTCGAAAGGGGGAACAACTTTTTGAATAAGAGTAAATCCTGGTGTAGTTTTGTAGTAGTCCTCACATGACTTTGGATTTTGAATATTCAAGGGAAATAAGCCCACTTTAATTGAGGGGTCGGCTGCCATAGTGGAGGACCGTTAGGGTTAGGGGCAATTCTAACAAGTTTGTTAACGGTAGGGGTTGATCTGGACGAAAAGTATAACGGGAATAAATGTAAACAATATACCATAGTAGAGAGACAAATCCGAACTATAATTTATTGATTCCACTGACAATATAAAAAAATTACATTATTAATGTTGTTTATCTATTAGGCAAGTTGTCATCGTTTTATGAGGTTAAAATTAATGTTTATGATAAAGATTTACTTGTAATTATTTTATAAGCAACCTGATTGTGTAAATATATTAAATTTTATCACAGGCAATGAGTGATGACAAGTATATGAGCGTGAAGCATAGAGTGAAGGTGAACAAACACAAAGAGAGAATATCAATAGGTTATTTTGTATTCCCTGCCGAAGATGCTATCATTCATAGCACAAACTACAAGCCTTTTACCTACGCCGATTTTCGAGCACAAGTTCAACATGATTTGAAGACAGTAGGTATCAAGACTGGTCTCCAGAAATTCAAGTTTACTACTCAATTCTCCTAACTGTGTACCTTAGTTTTAATTGGGGGAAAATGGTGCACAAATAATTAGTTCCTGCTGTATCCTTAGCTGACTGTAAGTTGTATAAACTAGTACTATTCGGAAGCGGCTCCCCTCCATTGCAGTATCCCTCCAGTTTATCAAGTGCACCTTTAATCTTATCACACCTGTCAACTATTAGATCTAAGGGTCAATACTTGTTTAACTAAAACACCCCCTTATACCATGGTTCAATGAAAAAAAGGATCAATCTTCTACTTTTGTAGTCAGCGATACAACAATTTGAAAGAGCTTCGGTTTTGTGAGGGGAGAAGTTACAGATTATTGGAGACATGAACCATAGAAAAATATAATAATATCATGAAAATGAGTTTTTTGATTGTTGCTGGGCAGTAGTAAAGTAGTAAATCTCCAGGAGGAGCAACACGATTTTAGCCTAGATATTATGTGCCAAATAGGGAAAGAATAAAACATACAATTAGTGGGACTTAACCATGGTATAATTAAGGGAGTGTTTCAGTTAAACAAATATTGACCCTTAGATCTAATAGTTGACAGGTGTAATAAAATTAAAGGCGCACTTGATAAACTGGAGGGATAATGCAATGGAGGGGAGCCGCTTCCGTAATATTCAGGGTTTTTTCTTGGTTATAATTTTTCCAATGTCCTTTCCTATTTGAGAAGAAATGGTAATTGTAGATTACTCTCTTTAATTTCATTTTCGTTGTAGGACCTAGGTGCTATAAGAATTTCGAAGTCTAATTTTACTATGTTCTGGAATAAACCATAAAACAGATTGAAATGATTAACCTTATATATAGCTTCTCAAGGAAATGATCTCCTATGACAATATAACTTGAAAGAAAGTTACACTACAAATATGTACCGTGTTTATTTATTTGTCACTCGTGTTATATTTTACCAAACTCGTGTAAAAAGGGTCATAACTAAAATAATTGTATACGGTGGAAATCGGGGCTACCCGATTTCGCTCTTCGATGGAAAAAGTGGTACCACGTCGGAAGACCAGGACGTCGAGCTCGGGGTCGAAGTTCCTTTCCAATGTCGAGGTCGATATAACTTACCGAGGTCAGAAGAAGGCATGCTTCGAGATGATGCCGGTATGATTCAGTAACGGAAAGAGCGAGATACCCGCAACAGGCCGGAGATCACGGCGTGAATTTCGGAATGGATTGGTCTTGGCGATTAAACAGTTGTCAAATATGATTTCCTACTATAATTAGAAGTGTACCTTATTTAGGACTCCCCTATTATATAAAGGGGGATCCCATTCATTTGTAAGACATGATTGACTGATAAGAAAATATACGCACATTACTCTCTTGTTATTTCACTTACTGTTCATCAGGGTTGCTTTATAATTTGCTATTCCTATTATCACACCTCGAGACTATCACAGGTCGAGGCCGAGATTTGGCCTACATACTGGTTTGGTTTACTTTGTTCTCCAATTTATCTATTTAATCCCTTGTTTATCAATTGGTATTGGATTAAATCACATATTCTTAAAACCACAATATAAGTTTCATTGTTACTCGAATTCTAGGGTAAACAGTTTGGCGCCCATCGTGGGGCTAAGGATAATAGTGATTGTTTCAGTGCTGATTCTGATAGCACACGTTATTTCACACTTGTTCTTGTCAAATATTTTTGCTCTCAGGTCAAAACATGTCAAACTCTCAAAACGCACCCGTACATGGTGATGATGGTCAAGGATTTCATGGGGAAAACGATAATGTAATTGCCCCAGGAGTCGGGGTGCCACCGGCTAATCTCGGAGGAGCACCGGTTGCCGATCCAGTTGATATTAGTTCACACGTTGCTTCAAATGCGGACCTAGGCGTGGACCCCGAAGGGAGTGTACGCAGGGAAGGACGATCTGGTGGTCAAGGTACGCAGGGCAGAGGAGACGGAGAAGTAAGTCTTCAGGTGATATTTGAGATACTACAGGCTCAGTGGGCCACTATTGCTCAGTTGCAAAATCAACACAGGACTCCGAGTGGGGTCGAGCCAGAAATCACTCGCCGTACCAATCCAGTGCCAGAAAGGTCAAATGGTAACGAATCGGGGACTGATCCTGTAATAATGTAAATGCTTGAGGAGCTCACCAAAAGAATTGAGTCAGGAGAGAGAAGATCGAAGACAATGATAAAAGAGTGGAAACATACAACTCCCGAGTTGATAAGATACCGGGGGCACCCCCGATCCTAAAGGGTTTGGATTCGAAAAAAGTTCGTGCAGAAGCCTTTTCCTCAGAGTGCGGCTCCGAAGCCCATTCCCAAGAAGTTCCGTATGCCGGATATACCTAAATACAACGGGACCACCGATCCTAATGAACACATCACTTCGTACACATGCGGAATAAAGGGAAATGACTAGATGATGATGAGATCGAGTCCCTTTTGTTGAAAAAATTTGGGAAAACTTTATCAAAGGGAGCAATGATTTGGTATCACAACTTACCACCAAATTCTATCGATTCGTTTGTCATGTTAGAAGATTCTTTCGTGAAGGCACACACCGGGGCCATAAAGGTCGCAACAAGAAAATCAGACGTTTTCAAGATAAGGCAAAGGGATAACGCAATGCTGAGGGAGTTCGTATCCCGATTTCAAATGGAACGCATTGAGTTGCCACCGGTCATAGATGATTGGGCCGTTCAAGCTTTCACCCAAGGGTTGAACGAGCAGAGTTCGATAGCATCACGACAGTTGAAACAAAATTTGGTCGAGTATCCAGGTGTAACTTGGGCAGATGTGCAAAATCGATATCAATCGAAGATCAGGGTCGAGGACGACCAATTAAGAGCCCCTTCCGGTTCAGTACATCCAAACAGGTCAGTAGTTAAAACCCTGAGGGACGTCGACAGGGAGCCAAGGTCGAACGGAGAACGATATCAACCATATACTGCAGATTGAAGGAACAACGGTTCAGGATGCAATTTCGCCCTGAACGATCGAAGAAGTTATCGAGGACAGAATTCTCGGGGACTTATGAGCAAAAGTGGTTTTGATAAACATGTCGATCCCATAGAGGCTCCTCGGTTATCGGAATATAACTTTAGCATCGACACATCAGGCATTGTATCGGCAATCGGAAGGATCAAAGATACTAGGTGACCCAGACCCATACAGACCGATCCTTCCCAAAGAAACCCAAATTTGATGTGCAAGTATCATGGCACGCATGCTCACAAGACCGCAGATTGCAGGCAGTTGAGGGAGGAGGTAGCCCGTCTATTCAATGAGGGCCACCTTCTAGAGTTCCTCAGTGTTCGAGAATCATTTCAGAGAAAGGGACGCCAATAGGAAAAATGAACAGGAGGAACCCCAGGATGTCATTCATAAGATCGTCGGTGGGGTCGACAGTCTACAGGGACCCATATTCAAACGCACTAAGGTATCAATCACTATGGAAAAACGAACCCGAGATTATGTGCCCGAAGGCTCCTTATCATTCAACGACGAAGAAGAAAAATGCATTTCTCAGCCACACAACGTCGCTCTGGTAATTTCTATCTTATTAAATAAAGTTCAAGTTAAGCGTGTTTTGGTGGATCAGGAAGCTCGGCGAATATAATCCGATCGAGGGTCGTGGAGCAACTCGGCCTACAAGATCAAATCGTGCCGGCAGCTTGGGTCTTAAACAGCTTTAACATGGCCAGTGAAACAACTAAAGGGGAGATTATTTTACCCGTGAACGTGGCTAGAAACATTCAAGATACCAAATTCCACGTGATCGAGGGTGACATGAGGTATAATGCCCTACTCGGGAGGCCCTGGATCCACAACATGAGGGCAGTCCCCTCGAATCTCCACCAAATGATGAAATTCCCGACGATAGATGGTGTAAAAATAGTATACGGGGAGCAACATGCCGCAAAGGAAATGTTTGTGGTCGATGAGGTAACATCGATATCAACGCTATCAACCTCGGGAAGATAGAGCATCAAAAGTAAACAGGAAGCCAAATAGCAATTACAGCCACCAGCCTCGACCGAATCAGGAAAGCAGGGGATAGAAGAAAAAGATGAAGAAGACTTTCTAACTTCTCGAACCTTTATTGTTCCCGAAGATTCTGACGCCACCAAATCGACGGTCGAAGAGCTGGAACAGGTTATATTGATCGAGTACCTGCCCGAGTGAAAGGTATACCTGGGAACGAGGTTAACCCCCGAACTCAGGAAAAAGCTTATTCAATTTCTTATTGATAACCTAGATTGTTTTGCTTGGTCCCATTTATACATGACAGGGATCCCACCAGAGATAACAACGCATCGGCTGAGCCTTGACCCTAGCTTCAAACCGGTGAAGCAAAAGAGAAGGTCCCAGTCCGAGGTAAAGCACGCATTCATAAAGGATGAAGTAACTAAACTTCCCAAAATAGGGTCCATTCGGGAGGTGAAATATGCAGAATGGTTAGCCAATGTAGTTGTAGTCCCTAAAAAAGGGAGCAAACTTAGAATGTGTGTAGATTATAAGGATTTAAACAAGGCATGCCCTAAAGATTCTTTTCCATTGCCTAACATCGATCGCATGATCGACGCCACGGCTAGCGACAAGATCCTTATCTTTCTCGACGCCTACTCCGGGTACAATCAAATTCAAATGAACCCATAAGACCAGGAAAAGACTTCGTTTATCACCAAGTATGGAACATATTGTTATAACGTAATGCCCTTTGGGCTAAAAAATACTGGAGCTACTTACCAACGCCTAGTAAATAAAATGTTCGAAACAAATAGGTAAGTCAATGGAAGTTTATATCGATGACATGCTAGTTAAGTCCCTGTGCGCAGAGGACCATTTGGCTCATTTGCAGGAAATATTCAAGATTTTGAGGAAATATAACATTGAAGCTCAACCCCGAGAAATGTGCTTTCAGGGTCGCTTCGGGCAAATTCCTGGGCTTCATGGTATCAAATTGGGGGATCGAGATCAACCCTGATAAAATCAAGGCCATCGAGAACATCACCGCCGTGGACAGTGTAAAAGCTGTGCAGAGGCTAACTAGACGGATAACAGCTTTAGGCCGATTCATCTCGAGGTCGTTGGATCGAAGCCACATATTTTTCTCTCTACTCAAAAAGAAGAACGATTTCACCTGGACCCCGGAAAGCCAACAAGCATTAGAGGAATTAAAGCGATACCTATCGAGCCCACCACTGCTTCACACTCCAAAGGCAGATGAGAAACATTACTTGTACTTGGCAGTATCGGAAATCGCGGTAAGTGGTATCCTAGTTCGAGAAGAGCAAGGTACGCAATTTCCCGTTTAGTATGTAAGTCGAACCTTAGGAGAAGGAGAAACTAGATACCCACACTTAGAGAGACTGACACTTGCACTGATAAACGCCTCTAGAAAGTTAAAATCGTACTTTCAATGTTACCCCATATGCGTATTAACCACTTATCCACTTCGTAATATTTTGCACAAGACCGACTCAGGCCGATTGGCCAAATGGGCCGTCGAACTCAGTGGGTACTTTATGGAATATCAACCACGAACGGCCATCAAGTCTCAAATTTTGGCAGACTTCGTAGATGATTTCGCGCCAACCTTGTACCCGAAGTTGAAAAAGAACTTTTATTAAAACAAGATACATCATCAGGGGTCTGGACCCTTTTTACCGATGGTGCCTCGAACGTGAAGGAGTCCGGGTTAGGCATCATTTTGAAGCCGGCTACGGGTAGCACCATTGGGCAGTCTATCAAAACTTCTAGGTTGACTAACAATGAGGC